TTTTGGATCATTGTCTTGCTGCATGACCCAGCTGCGCTTCAGCTTCAGCTCACAGACGGATGGTCTGACATTCTCCTGTAGAATTCTCTGATGCAGAATTCATTGTTCCTTCTATTAAGGCAAGACGTCCAGGTCCTGAGGCAGCAAAGCATCCCCAAACCATCACACCACCACCACCATGCTTGACCTTTGGTATGATGTTCTTACTGTTGAATGCAGTGTTTGGTTTTCGCCAGGCATTACTGGCCATGTCATCCAAAAAGTTATACTTTTGAATCATCTGTTCATAGAACGTTCTTCCAAGAGTCTTGATGATCATCCAGGTGCTTTTTGACAAACTTGAGTAAACTTTTTGGACGAGATGGGTCCCATTATGCCTGGCGAAAACCAAACACTGCATTCCACAGTAAGAACATCATACCAAAGGTCAAGCATGGTGGTGGTGGTGTGATGGTTTGGGGATGCTTTGCTGCCTCAGGACCTGGACGACTTGCCTTAATAGAAGGAACCATGAATTCTGCATCAGAGAATTCTACAGGAGAATGTCAGACCATCCGTCTGTGAGCTGAAGCTGAAGCTCAGCTGGGTCATGCAGCAAGACAATGATCCAAAACACACAATCAAGTCTACACGAAAATTGCTAAAAAGCAACAAATTGGAAGTTTTGGAATGGCCTAGTCAAAGTCCAGACCTAATCCCAATTGAGATGTTGTGGCATGACTTGAAACGAGCAGTTTAAAACCTGCTTGAAAACCCACATGTCACTGAGTTAAAGCAGTTCTGCATGGAAGAGTGGGCCAAAATTCCTCCACAGCGGCGTGAGAGACTGATTAACAACTACAGGAAGCATTTGGCTGGAGTCATTGCAGCTAAAGGTGGCACAACCAGTTATTGAATGTAAGGGGGCAATTACTTTTTCACACAGGGGAATTGGGTGTTGCATAACTTTGTTTATGAAATAAATGAAATAAATATGTAATTGTTGTGTTATTTGTCCACTTATGTTCCCTTTATCTAATATTAGGTTTTGGTTGAAGATCTGATAACATTCAGTATCACAAATATGCAAAAGTAGAGAAAATTAGAAAGGGGGCAAATACTTTTTCATAGCACTGTATATGCCCCCATTTATTTATCCTACGGTTCTGACTTGGTGTACAGGGAGAATACTGTAAGAACGGCCCATGTTCTGAATTCTGTCGATGTACATTTCAAAAGTGCTGAACAAATAGTTACATTGACTACATCCGTCCTAGCTCGCTCATTAATGTCTTAATCGAAATTACGGATTGCCTCTTATTCGCATGTCCTCCCCTTATGCTATAGTTTGTACATCTCAATTGTCAGTAGAAACCACATTTTTTAAAGCAATTCAGCCATATCAGCTATGTTTTTTTTAAAGGCAATAAATGAGACTAAATTAACTGTTTCGCTGCCAGACAAGGCTATGCTGATAGCCAGGTGTACCAGTGGTAAGGTGTTGGGACTCTGCTGTTGGGACAGCTTTAGGCCCTAACAGTTTGTGGGCACCATTATAGCGCAATTAATGTCTTGTTTTGTGTTGTGTAGTGGTTTTGCTGGCATGCAACCCTCATTATTATTTATTTTTTTGCCCCACCAAGATTTACATGCTAAAATCGCCACTGGCCTTTAAACAACACCGAAATCTTTGTTTCTACTATGCTAAAATCTGTTTCTACTAGGCTAAAATCTATTTTTCTACTAGGCTAAAATCGATGTTTCTACTAGGCTCCTCTCTCAAGGGAAGTTAAATCCTTGAATAGAATAGAGTGCATTGTATGCCTAGTCATGATAATACAATGTTAGGAAGGAAAGAAGGGGTGGTTTGAAGACACATGGGCACCACAGCTCTTATTTTATTTACAGGTCAGAAAATTAAGCCAAACCCATTTTCCTGAGTGACTCATTTTTCCCGCCACGTCAAAACTCCCCATCCCCCTTTTAGGGAAGTTATCCTCAACTGTGGAACTTGTATGTTCTCTACCGATCCACAATATAGAATAACAGAACAATAGAAAGAACAAACACCATAATATAGTAAAAATGTACACGTTATATTAATGGAGAAAGTAAACTATACTTACGTTTCAAAGCCAATAATAGTCTAATAGACAAACTTAAATGTACTTTGAGAGTTTACGGGTGGCTACGCTCCGCCCCGCCCCGCCATCTGTTGTTTGACAGCTCGCGCGTCGTAAATAGACTCCCAACATGATCGATTCATTTCACACTCTCGCTACATTGCATCAGTCCCAGGTGGCGTTATTCGTGTGTGTATTGACTGAAACATTTACATTACATTTACATTATTTAGCAGACGCTCTTATCCAGAGCGACTTACAAATTGGTGCATTCACCTTATAGCCAGTGGGATAACCACTTTACTTGATAATTTGCGTGTATCCAAATAACTTTTATGGAACTAGCCTAACGACTGAAACGGCAAGCTATTTCGGGACGTTTTCAAACCTATATTATAATAGAGTTCGATTTAAAGCATATTGGGATATAGGCCTACAAATGGAAATGTATATATATAATGTGAGGCTACTGAAGTCTGACAAAGTGATATTGTGACGATGGAGTCATAATACGTTTGTCATCATGCTATTTACCGTACAAATATCCATATCACGAACAGCCCTAACGATAACCGAAATAATAGTCGATATGAAATGACTTACCGATTCCTGTGCATCTGGTGAAAGTAACATCTAGCGTTCCTGTCCACAAATGACCTTATATGCACTGTAAACTTGTAGCATAACGCAGGAAGTGTAGGAGAGGCCTCTGCTATAGCTGCATAGGCTAGCTTTACCAGATTTAGCCAGACGAGAGCAGCAAATCCGCAGAGCAACTGATAATCGTGGGGTGTGATTGTACTACGTCAACAATTCAAACTGAAAGGCGCGCCCGAAAGAGCTAGACAGTTACTGTGGGCTACTGGACTGTCTGATTGACAGAGCAAGTGTGTGTGAAGGGGACCCCAATTGCAGTCCGTCTTGTCCTTGACGAATGTGTTAAACACACTCGTATGATGGACATAGGTTGCGTCCCAAATGGCACCCTATTCACCAGGGCCCATACCCATACTGCTCCAATACAGAAGGAACACCAGTAAATGAAATTGAATAGGATACAGGAGCCAGGGGAGGGGGGAGTTTAATAGTCTTTGAACAGTTGTAATGCTTGCAACAAACAACATAAATGCGAACAGCAACATATAAAACACATTTAATAAATAATATTTTAATACCACCAAATTATACAATAAATACATTATTTTATTTTCATAATGAACAATATCAACATGGGGATAAAGGAAAATAGTTTCCCCTACTGACTCGCTATTCAAAATGGAATGGCTAAAGTAGTATTATGGTTTCACAAAACTAATGTGAACTGTTGTCTAGTGAAGAAATAGCCTACAGCTGCATTTATTTAAAGCTAATTTCTGCTCACACATTGACATAAAAAAGTGTTTACTAAAAGCTGTTCCAGCCATAGAATTAGAATGAGAGAATATAATCATTCATCTAATTTTATGGTTCCAGCTTCTCACCTGACTATTAAAGCCTCAAGTGGTCAAAATAAAAGTATATTTAGTTTTAGGCAAAAATCATCTATACTGTACATTTAAGATCAATATCTCAAGCCAAGCCATGTGTTGCCTGTCGTGGCTGTAGCTTGTTAAGGTATGATGGCTGATGGCATGGGACACCTTAGATGTTTTTAAACATGTAATTAATTCCATTAACCTTTATTAAGTGCTACAGTGTATTTGCTTTTAGATTTATATCTTTACATTGTAGACCTACATTCTTTTTTTACAATGGCATGTAACCATACAATGTGACCATATGAGAGGTATCAGAAAAAGGAAAATACATATCTATACACGATTCCTCAGTTCCTTTACTTTATACAGTAGGCTACAAATGTGCCAGTAACTGTTGTTCACAGCTTGAAAGGCTCTACGTTGTTGTTATTGTTGTTGTGCTTTAATGACTTCACAGCTGTTTTAGAACCACTGAGAGAGACCTCACTTGAACCACAAACCATTATATATACTGTAGTATATTACATCAATTACATCATAACATTTCACATACGTATGTAGCAGATGCTCTAATTCAGAGCATTGTGTGCATCCCAAATGGCACCCTATTTCCTATATAGTGCACTACATTTGCCCAGAGTAGTCCACTATAAAGAGAATAGGGTGCCATTTTGGACGTAACCATCAAACACCACTCTGTTAAACACGGTTTCAACAGACTGAACTGGTACTTAGACCTGAATGTCAAATAGACCTGAATGAAAAGCTAACAACATTGTAGACACACCTCTGTTGCCAAATGCCAAGCCCAGAGTACAAAAGACTTGTTGAAATAATAGTTATTTGGACAAAATAGTTTTTAAACAACAGCTGATACGTACTTGCAGAACAATCAATTACCCTGTGGACTCGATTGAGAGAAATTCACAAGCTACAGTTGGATGATGAAGAACGTCTCTGTCTCTCTCTGGTGCTTTTCTCTTTGTCCATCAGTGCCAAATATCCACATAGAACTCAGTCTCTGTCTCTCAGACTTTCACAATCTCCCTCGTCATTCGCGAGTGAGTTACACTTACCTTAATATACATAATAAACATAAACCCATATATATCAGTCTCATATGGGCCAATACCCCAGTGAGACCAGTCAGTAGTCCATCCAAATATTGGCCATTAGTATCAAATGTCCATGTAAACCCCAGTTACAGTCTCTCTTAGCCTTTCTCTTGTCCTTGACGAGTGTGTTAAACACAGTTGTATGATGAACATAGTCTGTGACCCAAATGGAACCCTATTCACTACATAGTGCATCACTTTTGACCAGGGCCCATACTGCACCTATACAGTAGACCCTACGCTCCTATACAGTATGAACACCAGTAGATGAAGTTGAATAGGATATAGGAGCCAGGGAATAACATCCTGGAGTACTTGTCGATGGCGTGTGTATTCTGGATAATTTTGAGGGCCCGGATACCTTTCTTCTTGGTGGTTGTGGACTCGCTACTGACAGACAGGTGGACCACCATGTGCTCCCCAGGAGGCTGCTTCTCGGTCATCACCTCACGGGGCATCTCCACGTCCTCCTCGGGCACCATAGTTCCTGAGGTGTAGCCGGCCAGGCTGTTGGTGTCCGCCTCGCTGTAGGTCCCGTCTAATATCATGGTCCTGGTCTGGGACATGCCACAGGTGCAGGGCAGCGACTGCAGGGCAGGAGAGAAGGTGAGGGAAAGATAGAGCTTATGACAGGAAAAATTTATCTAAACTAACTTGAGATGCATGACTGTAATTTTTTAATCATGCATGTCAATGAGACATTTGACCAAACATTAATGTGTTAGCATGTGTTAGGTTAGGCCCTAAGAAAAGAAGAGGAATTCTAATGTGTCAGCAGTGTCTCGCAGTCAACCAAAGTGCATGAAATTAAGAGCAAACTGTATTCACAAGAGATATTCAGTTACTCTTAGAAAATTGTCTTAGATACACACTACTGTGGTAGCATCTCATTACCTGTGACCTGGCCCTCTCCCTTATCTCGTCTCTCATCTTGCGTTCCCTGCGGTCCTGCACAGTGGACAGGTAGTTGACGGCAGCGTACTCCAGCACGGACAGGAAGACAAACACGAAGCTGACCCACAGGTAGATGTCCACAGCCTTGATGTAGGACACTCTGGGCATGGAGGCGTTCACTCCAGTGATGATGGTGGACATGGTGAGCACTGTGGTGATACCTGCAGGGGAAAGGAGAAGACAATAAAAAAAGTTCAAGTCTGTTGGTTTAAAAAAATATATATATATATATCTCCGCACTGCTAAAGCTAACTCTCTCTCCTCTGCTCACGTCCTTCTAGACCTATCTGCTGCCTTTGATACTGTGAACCATCAGATCCTCCTCTCCACCCTCTCCGAGTTGGGCATCTCCGGCGCGGCTCACTCTTGGATTGCATCCTACCTGACAGGTCGCTCCTACCAGGTGGCGTGGCGAGAATCTGTCTCCGCACCACGTGCTCTCACCACTGGTGTCCCCCAGGGCTCAGTTCTAGGCCCTCTCCTATTCTCGCTATACACCAAGTCACTTGGCTCTGTTATATCCTCAAATGGCCTCTCCTATCATTGCTACGCAGACGACACACAATTAATCTTCTCCTTTCCCCCTTCTGATAACCAGGTGGCAAATCGCATCTCTGCATGTCTGGCAGACATATCAGTGTGGATGACGGATCACCACCTTAAGCTGAACCTCGGCAAGACGGAGCTGCTCTTCCTCCCGGTGAAGGACTACCCGTTCCATGATCTCGCCATCACGGTTGACAACTCCGTTGTGTCCTCCTCCCAGAGTGCAAAGAGCCTTGGCGTGACCCTGGACAACACCCTGTCGTTCTCCGCTAACATCAAGGCGGTGACCACGATCCGTCACCACCTTCCGGAGACACTTGAAACCCCACCTCTTTAAGGAATACCTGGGATAGGATAAAGTAATCCTTCTACCCCCCCCCCCCCCTTACCCCACCCCAAAGAAGAAAAAAAGAAAAAATAATTGTAAAGTGGTTGTCCCACTGGCTATCATAAGGTGAATGCACCAATTTGTAAGTTGCTCTGGATAAGAGCGTCTGCTAAATGACGAAAATGTAAATGTAAATATGGAATGGGGGCTACCAGAATAGAGTTCAGACATTTCTATAAGTTTCAGAGTATTTTTGAATATGTATTCTTTCTTGTAATCGTACAACACCAATATATCTTCATCAGGTCTGACAAAGACGGCTTTAATGTTTGAAGCTCGATGCTGAAAACCATTGTGATACTTACACAATACCACCAAAAGCCTGAAATGTGGCAATGAGGAGAATAAGCAGCACTAGAGAAGACATAAACTGTAAGACTTCTGAGCTATTGGTAGCTATTACACCACCATAATCGTACCCAGCGAGACGCGGGCTGGGACGGCCCTGTGGTCTATCCAGAAGGACACCCAGGACAGCATGACCATGAGGGTGGCAGGGAAGTAGGTCTGGAGCAGGAAGAAGAAGATGTGTCTCCGCAGGGTGAAGTTGATGTACAGACGATTGTACCAGCCTGTACAGGAAGACACAAAACAAAAGGAAAGTATCGGTCAATAATATCATGGGAATATCAATGCTTATGATTTCCCTCCATGTGGTTATTGTGATGATGACTTAAATGACTGTGATGATGTCACGTTTTATTTTACTCTAATCTAATTCATCTAGCTGGGAAAAACTCACTGTGTATTGGAGTTTTTAACTGAAATCATGTCATGTAGTGTGGTTGTTTCCTGTGCCAATACCTCATTGACCACTGATCGTGATCACTAATCTTAGTCAATACCTTTAGCTCAACCAAAATTACCCTATTTATCCATAACATTGATAATGCTGTCTTAACTGTACTGTACTGTACTGTACTGCACTGTAATGTACTGCACTGCACTGTAATGTACTTTACTGTACCTGTGCTGCTATAGAACGCCAGGTGAGAGGTGGTGTGGAACTTCTGGATGAGGAACTGAGACAGGGAGATACGGTCGTCCGTACTCAAGGACTCATCCCCACTCTTCCAGTACAGCATCAGATCCTCATCCGTATAGGCATCTGGGGAGCACAACCAACATTAGATATTTTCTCCATAATATTGTTCTGTTTGTGTATTTACTGTAATCAAAAAGACAACATTTTGTGCCCAGAGGGAAAAATCCTAACCAGAGATATCGTAGACATTTGAGTACATAATCTATTGATGTCAAATGGAGATTTCTGTGTGTATCTTAGTTAGGATTCCTCCCTTTATAAAAAAAATAGTGAGAGGTATGACTGTTTCAGCCTTAATAGTAGTTAATAGTAGTTGATGACAGTTACTCACAGCTCTCCAGCTCCAGTGAGCAGGTCTGGGTGTCCAGAGGGAAGCGGCTGAAGTCCATGTTACAGGCTGCTGTCACTGTCACCCTGTACAGTAAGGACAATACAGATCCATGATGTGACATCAACTAAACTAAGATTCCCCCATGAGCCTGTTTGCAACACATAAGATTCATTGTAGAGGTTCCGCAATGTATGCTATTTTCAAAGTTGTATGGTATTTGCTCTTTTTGCCTTCTGGAATAAATAAATAGAATGACATAACTTTGAAAATCTCATTTTTGGAGTGTGGACTCACTACATACACTGTACATATACACTGAATCACCTGTTTACAACACCAAATAAAGTGGGTCCTTTCTGTTGCCTTTACTATTTCATACAACCAATTCAACACTGACTATAACTGTATGTAGTAGACGATCTGAAAAAACAGGGCCACTTTCATGAATAACAATAAGCTTGTTCTCAACCCATTAGAACACAATTTGTGCATCCAATGTCTGGTGAATGACTTTGGGAAGCATAATAGAACAATCTATCTGGCATAAATAACAACTTAGTAGTACCTTCACATTTTGGCCTAGTTTTCAAAAACAGATTTTTAAAAACATCATCAGCCAGAAGCACATTTCTAATTTTAACAAACAACAGAGGCAAAATGCAAATGAATCTTCTTGTCTAGATGTCATCCTACATCCTGCACAGAACCATGTTATTTTTAGTATTAAAAGTTAGGATACTATTAATATTCCAAACATGTCAACAGCTAAGCACATAATCCCAGTATTGAGAATTTTAGGAGTCGATCACTTTGTAGCAGGGGAGGCGAATCGTGGCAATGGAAGGCCACAGTGTGTGAAGGCTTTTGCTCCATCCCAGCGCTAGCACAGTCAATTCAAAATGAATTAAAAACTGAATTAACCCCAACCCTGCATTGTAAAGAATGACCCATACCATAAGGTTGCGAAATTCTGCTAACTTTACAAAAATGCCAAGGTTTTCCAGAAATTCCAGGATTCCAGGATTCTGGATTTCCTGCTTATTCCCTTCTGATTCCGGAAATCTTCCAAACAGGATTTCTGGAAAACATGGGTATTTTGGAAAAGTGACTGGAATTTTGCAACCCTAATCCCCAAAGCATCCCAGACCCACCTCAGGCTGTAGAGGACGTGTCCGTCGGGAAAGACCCTGAGCATGATGTTGTCTGTGGTGGTGTCGTGGATGAAGGATCTCTTGGAGTGCACAAAAAACACATCTGGAACCCAGATCTTCTTCACCAGACGCCCGTCGAATGTCATGCTCTTATTGGTGGAGCTGGTGAAGGTCAGGCGTTCGTCCTTCCAATAGTGTCTCAGGTACAGGGTCATGGTGAAGTCCTATTGGAACAGAGAAGGGGAAAGTTATGCATTGCCCAGTACCCAGGGTGCGTGGAACCAATATAATGGTCTAAAATGTAGAAACTTTATGATGCAAAATGAAAGAGCCCAGTGATTGTGCAAAACTATTCCCAGTGAATCATCTTAGTCATATATCATACATAACTATGCTATTGAGGTCATAAGGGGTTGAGTTATCCCAGTGAGTAAATTACACAAATCAATGTAGAGCTTTGACTTTGAGAAAAGTGCTACAGTTTATACATGTAAATAGAAATCATTCACCCAGCTGTCAGTACTTACAGCACTTTGGGTTGAAATTCTGTTGGGGCTGAAATTAAGTGTAGCCTGAAAGTCAATGGTCAGAGCAGTCTCTTTGATTTCTCTGCAACCTCTCATGCCTCTTGGGTTGAGCTCCACCACAAAGAGACTCAAACCTCTTCCTCCTCAGCCTTAACCCCCTCCTTCTCCGCTTCCTCCTCATCCCCCTCCGCCTACTCCGACTCCTCACTAAACCCCTAAAGTAGATATCATCCCTCTCTCACTCCCTATTTCACCCCTCTCCCTCTCACAATTTGTAATGACTAGCAACAGTTGGGAGTACCCATCATTATGATGACCATCTGCATGGTAAACAAAGACTATCCAAATGTTACAGTCTGTTAGATAAGGGATTTAGCTAGCCAAAAAATACCAACAAAACGTGTCCATATGGATCCAGGAACCAATGACATAAGTGTTAATGATGTGGGTATTTTACTATAAGTTTATTTCAACAACGCGCAGTTGGAAGTTTTTGTGTCATAACTTGGTAGTACAAAAATGGGTTAACCTAAACCTACCATGTCTACTTCTGAGATACTGTCCAAGCTTTCTACTTGTACGTCCACTCCGACTGGAATAGCCGGGCCTGGAAAACAAAAAGAAAGAAACCACATAGAAAAACATGTGTGAAGTTAAAAATGTTGTATAATTGGGTGCAGAAATAAAGTACTGGGGAGAAGCAATATTCGTTGTGCAGGCCTCTCAATCCTTTATCTCAGTATTATTTCTTAGTCCAGCACCGCTATTCTTAAATTTAAGATGTGCATATCACCCTCTTTTTCTTCCGACAAACTACAGTATGCCATGTCAGGTGGCTCATAGATTGTGATACCTGGGTACAGTGATTGAGCTGGATTCTCCTACAGGCAATAAGGGGAACGATCAGCTTTGAACTTGAAAGCAAAATCGTTGCATGGTGATGACTCACTCATCATTACCTGACTCAGTCTAGTACTGTAGACTTAAATGGGAGCGGAAACGAAGGGATTTAGAACCAATTCCGCTGGCTGAAGGCAGAAGTGAAAGGATCAAGCCAAATTACACAACTGCACTCCGAAAAACCTCTGACTGTATATACTCTGTCTTTCATGTAATGACCTTGCAGTACCTCTGTTCCGTCGTCAGGGCCCAGCAGTGGTATTTTGGTATTGGTACTTTATTAGGATCCCCATTAGCTGTTGCAAAAGCAGCAGCTACTCTTCCTGGGGTCCACACAAAACATGAAACATGACATAATACAGAACATTAATAGACAAGAACAGCTCAAGGACAAAACTACATACATTTTTAAAAAAGGCACACGTAGCCTACATATCAATAGATACACACAATCTATCTAGGTCAAATAGGGGAGAGGCGTTGTGCCGTGAGGTGTTGCTTTATCTGGTTTTTGAAACCAGGTTTGCTGTTTATTTGAGCAATATGAGATAGAGCGGAGTTCCATGCAATAATGGCTCTATACGCTTTCTTGAATTTGTTCTGGATTTGTGGACTGTGAAAAGACCCCTGGTGGCATGTCTGGTGGGGTAAGTGTGTGTGTGTCAGAGCTGTGTGTAAGTTTACTATGCAAACAATTTGGGATTTTAATGTTTCTTATAAAAAGAAGAAGTGATGCAGTCAGTCTCTCCTCAACTCTTAGCCAAGAGAGACTGGCATGCATAGTATTTATATCAGCCCTCTGATTACAATGAAGAGCAAGACTCCGCTCTGTTTTGGGCCAGCTGCAGCTTAACTAGGTATTTCCTTGCAGCACTGGACCACACGACTGGACAATAATCAAGATTAGACAAAACTAGAGCCTGCAGAACTTGCTTTTTGGAGTGTGGTGTCAAAAAAGCAGAGCATCTCTATTACGGACAGACCTCTCCCCATCTTTACAACCATTGAATCTATATGTTTTGACCATGATAGTTTACAATCTAAGGTAACTCCAAGTAATTTAGTCTCCTCAACTTGTTCAACAACCACACCATTCATTACCAGATTCAGCTGAGGTCTAGAACTTAGGAAATGATGTGTACCAAATACAATGCTCTTAGTTTTAGAGATGTTCAGGACCAGTTTATTAGTGGCCACCCATTCCAAAACAGACTGCAACTCTTTGTTAACGGTTTCAGTGACTTCATTAGCTGTGGTTGCTGATGCGTATATGGTTGAATCATCAGCATACAGCATACATGGACACACATGCTTTGTTTAATGCCAGTAGCAGGTCATTGGTAAAAATAGAAAAGCGTAGAGGGCCTAGAGAGCTGCCCTGTGGTACACCACACTTTACTTTTGTCACACACAACCGAATACAACATGTGTAGACCTTACAGTGAAATGCTAACTTACAAGCCCTTAACCAACAATGCAGTTTTAAGAAAAATAAGTGTTAAGTAAAAAATAGATGAGTAAAAAATTTAAAATGAAAATAAATAACAAATAATAAAGAGCAGCAGTAAAATAACTGTAGCGAGGCTATACAGTGAGGGAAAAAAGTATTTGATCCCCTGCTGATTTTGTACGTTTGTCCACTGACAAAGACATGATCAGTCTATAATTTTGATGGTAGGTTTATTTGAACAGTGAGACACAGAATAACAACAACAAAATCCAGAAAAACGCATGTCAAAAATATTATAAATTGATTTGCATTTTAATGAGGGAAATAAGTATTTGACCCCTCTGCAAAACATAACTTAGTACTTGGTGGCAAAACCCTTGTTGGCAATCACAGAGGTCAGACGTTTGTTGTAGTTGGCCACCAGGTTTGCACACATCCCAGGAGGGATTTTGTCCCACTCCTCTTTGCAGATCTTCTCCAAGTCATTAAGGTTTCGAGCCTGACGTTTGGCAACTCGAACCTTCAGCTCCCTCCACAGATTTTCTATGGGATTAAGGTCTGGAGACTGGCTAGGCCACTCCAGGACCTTAATGTGCTTCTTCTTGAGCCACTCCTTTGTTGCCTTGGCCGTGTGTTTTGGGTCATTGTCATGCTGGAATATCCATCCACGACCCATTTTCAATGCCCTGGCTGAGGGAAGGAGGTTCTCACCCAAGATTTGACAATACATGGCCCCGTCCATCGTCCCTTTGATGCGGTGAAGTTGTCCTGTCCCCTTAGCAGAAAAACACCTCCAAAGCATAATGTTTCCACCTCCATGTTTGACGGTGGGGATGGTGTTCTTGGGGTCATTGGCAGCATTCCTCCTCCTCCAAACACGGCAAGTTGAGTTGATGCCAAAGAGTTTGATTTTGGTCTCATCTGACCACAACACTTTCACCCAGTTCTCCTCTGAATCATTCAGATGTTCATTGGCAAACTTCAGACGGCCCTGTATATGTGCTTTCTTGAGCAGGGGGACCTTGCGGGCGCTGCAGGTTTTCAGTCCTTCACGGCAATTGTTTTCTTGGTGACTATGGTCCCAGCTGCCTTGAGATCATTGACAAGATCCTCCCGTGTAGCTCTGGGCTGATTCCTCATCGTTCTCATGATCATTGCAACTCCACGAGGTGAGATCTTGCATGGAGCCCCAGGCCGAGGGAGATTGACAGTTCTTTTGTGTATCTTCCATTTGCTAATAATCGCACCAACGGTTGTCACCTTCTCACCAAGCTGCTTGGCGATGGTCTTGTAGCCCATTCCAGCCTTGTGTAGGTCTACAATGTTGTCCCTGACATCCTTGGAGAGCTCTTTGGTCTTGGCCATGGTGGAGAGTTTGGAATCTGATTGATTGATTGCTTCTGTGGACATGTGTCTTTTATACAGGGAACAAGCTGAGATTAGGAGCACTCCCTTTAAGAGTGTGCTCCTAATCTCAGCTCGTTACCTGTATAAAAGACACCTGGGAGCCAGAAATCTTTCTGATTGAGAGGGGGTCAAATACTTATTTCCCTCATTAAAATGCAAATCAATTTATAACATTTTTTACATGCATTTTTCTGGATTTTGTTGTTGTTATTCTGTCTCTCACTGTTCAAATAAACCTGCCATTAAAATTATAGACTGATAATTTCTTTGTCAGTGGGCAAACGTACAAAATCAGCAGGGGATCAAATACTTTTTTCCCTCACTGTATATAGGGGGTACCGGTACAGAGTCAATGTGCAGGGGCACAGGTTAGTCGAGGTAATTGAGGTAATATGTACATGTAGGTAGAGTTAAAGTGACTATAGATAATAAACAGAGAGTGGCAGCAGCGTAAAAGAGGGGGGGGGGACAATGCAAATAGTCCGGGTAGCCATTTGATTAGCTGTTCAGGAGTCTTATGGCTTGGGGGTAGAAGCTGTTAAGAAGCCTTTTGGACCTAGACTTGGCACTCCGGTACTGCTTGCTGTGCGGTAGCAGAGAGAACACGATGACTAGGGTGGCTGGAGTCTTTGACAATTTTTAGGGCCTTCCTCTGACACCGCCTGGTATAGAGGTCCTGTATGGCAGGAAGCTTGGCCCCAGTTATGTACTGGGCTGTACGCACTACCCTCTGTAGTGCCTTGCGGTTGGAGGCCGAGCAGTTGCCATACCAGGCTGTGATGTAACCAGTCAGGATGTAGAACGTTTTGAGGATCTGAGGACCCATGCCAAATCTTTTCAGTCTCCTGAGGGGGAATAGGCTTTGTCGTGACCTCTTCACGACTGTCTTGGTGTGTTTGGACCATGATAGTTTGTTGGTGATGTGGAAGTAATACAAGACAAATTAAATAAAATACACAAGAATGGAGCTATATACAGGGAGTACCAGTACCAGATCAATGTGCAGGTGTACGAGGTATTTGAGGTAGACATGTACATGAAGGCAGGGTAAAGTGACTAGGCATCAGGATAGATAAAATATGAGTAAAATAAAGAAAGGAATAGCAGCAGCAAATGATGAGTGTAAAAGTGTGTGAGTGCATGTGTGTTTGTGTTGTGTTGGTATGCATGTGTGTGTTATGTGTGTGTGTGCGTATGTAGTGTATGTGAATGTTTGTGTTTTGTGTGGGAATGTCAGTGTAGTATAGTCTAGTGAGTGTGCGTAGGGTCAGTGCAAGATAGAGTCAGTGCAGATAATTTGAGTCCCATTAATTGACTATTTATCAGTCTGGCTATTTAGGAGTCTTATGGCTTCGGGGTAGAAGCTGTCTCGGACCAAGAGAGCCGATGCTCCTGTACTGTTTGCCGGACGGTAGCAGAGTGAACAATCTACGGCTTGGGTGGCTGGAGTCTTTGGCAATTATTCAGGCTTCCTCTGACGCCGCCTGATATAGACGTCCTGGATGGCAGGGAGCTTTGCCCCAGTGATGTACTGGGCTGTCCGCACCAGCCTCTGTAGCGCTTTGCGATCAAGGATGGTGCATTTGCCATACCAAGCTGTGATGCAGCCAGTCAAAATGCTCTCGATGGTGACTCATCGCCGTCGGTGATCAGGCCTAGCACCGTCGTGTCGTCAGTAAACTTGATGATGGTGTTGGAGCCGTGCATGGCCATGCAGTTGTGGGTGAACAGGGAGTACAGGAGGGGACTAAGCACATACCCCTGAGGGGCCCCCATGTTGAGGGTCAGTGTGGCAGAGGTGTTGTTGCCTACCCTCACCACCTGGGGGCGGCCCGTCAGGAAGTCCAGGATCCAGTTGCAGAGGGAGGGGTTCAGTCCCAGTATAGTGACGAGCTTGGTGGGGACTATGGTGTTGAACGCTGAGCTGTAGTCTATGAACAGCATTCTCACATAGTTATTTCCACTCTGGTCCAGGTGGGAGAGGGCAGTGCAATTGAGATTGCGTCATCTGTGGATCTGTTGGGGGGGTATGTGAATTGGAGTGGGTCTAGCATGTCTGGGATGATGGTGTTGATGTGTGTCATGACCAGCCTTTCAAAGCACTTCATAATTACAGATGTGAGTGCTACAGGGCGATAGTCATTTAGGCAGGTTACCTTGGAGATATTGGGAACAGGGACAATGGTGGTCTGCTTGAAACATGTTGGGATTACCGACTGGGACAAGGAGAGATTGCCAGCTGGTCTGTGTATGCCTTGAGAACGCGGCCTGGTATTCCGTCTGATTGTTAACCTGTTTAAATGTTTTGCTCACATCAGCCACAGAGAGCGAGATCACACAGTAATCTGGAAAAACAGGGTGTTTCACGCAAGGCAGAGTGTTTTCTTTCTCGAAGCGAGCATAAAAGGCATTAAGCTAGTTTGGGAGTTCTGCATCGCTGGGCAACTCATGGCTGGGTTTCCCTTTGTATTCTGTTATCGTCTGCAAGCCCTGCCACATACGACGAGCGTCAGAGCCGGTGTAATAGGATTCCACCTTCCTCCTATATTGTCTTTTTGCATGTAGGATGTCTCGTCGGAGGTCGTTGCGAGCTTTCTTGTATGCGTCCATGTCTGTGTCCCGTTCCTTGTAAGCAGTAGCTGTAGTCTTTAGCTCAGCACGGATATTGCCTGTAATTGTCATGAATCCCGCTTCCTGAGTCTGTTTCTGCCTGAGTTGCCTGTTTTCTGTCCTGGAGTCTGTTTTCCTGAGGTTCCTGAACGCACCCTTTCTGGTTGCCGGGCGACGAAGCTAGGCGAGAGATCTCTCTATTACCCGCACCTGCATCTCATCAGCTATCTGCACACCTGGTCCTGATCATCACCTCTCCACTTCATAAGCTCTGACCTGACATCCATTCCCTGCCGAATCGTTAGTCATGAACAGTATGTTGTGTCAGCGTATCAGCCTCAAGTTTTCTAGAGTTTGTTTTGTTGTTTTGTACTTTTTGCTTGCCGTGTACTTACCTCCGTTTACTCTGTCTACAGTTATTCTCCCAGAACATTCACTCCACACTTGCCTGGTCGTCGGTGGGTTCTGTAACATCATTGGATCTGCCTATTCACTTCCACCAACTCACCTCCGCTGCCCGCTCCGTCTCCTGAATTATCCTGCTTCCACATTTGAGTCGTTAAATAAATACTCCCCTTCTGTCTACTCACCTTGTCTGCTTCTGGGTTCTGCTTTAGAGAATCGTGACAGTAATCCATGGTTTTTGGTTTGGATACATTCTTATAGTCATTGTGGGGATGACATCATCTATGCACTTATTGATGAAGCCCATGACTGTTGTGGTAAACTCCTCAATGCTATCGATGAATCCCGGAACATACTGTATCCCAGTCTGCACTAGCAAACAATCTTGTAGCCTCGCATGTGCTTCATCCGACCACTTCCATCACTGGTACTACCTGTTTGAGCTTTTGCTTGTTAACAGGAAGCAGGAGAATGGAGTCATGGTCAGATTTACATTTTAGTCATTTAGCAGACGCTCTTATCCAGAGTGACTTACAGTTAGTGAGTGCATACATTTTTCATACTGGCCCCCCGTGGGAATCGAACCCACAACCCTGGCGTTGCAAGCGCCATGCTCAACCAACTGAGCTACAGGAGGGCCTGGGGATTTGCCAAAGGGAGGACGAGGGAGGGCCTTGTATGCATTTCTGTGGGTAGAATAAAAGTGGTCTAGAGTTTTAGCTCCCCTAGTGGCGCAAGAGATGTGTTGGTAGAAGTGAGGTAGGATGGTTTTACGTCTCCCCGTGTTAAGTCTCCGCTCACCAGAAACGCTGCCTTTGGGTGCCAGAGTGGTGTTGGCTTGTGGAGTGATGTTGACAGCCATGATAATACAAAAATACAAATACTGTATACATGTTTAACAAAATAAAGAAAATCTATTATGAGTAAACATCAAAATATTGCTCTCAGCGTTGATCAAAGCTCAGAGACGCTTCTTGATCTGACTGATTTCTAATCGTGCCTGCTTCTTTCCGAAACGAGTGTAATCATAAACAGTGGTTTGTTCATTATGTTCGCCTGCGTCCACCGGATTTGTCGTCCCGGATTTGCCTTTTTAGCAGCACATTCACCACTCTCTCAAACAGCTAACGCCGCCCTCTCACGGCACAGGCAGAGGGTCTGAGAAATGAAACTAACTACCCCAGCTCGCAGTCAGCTCAAATAGGCAACTAGAGACGTTGCTGACAGTGTGGCTGTGTCTACACTTGACACTTAGAGTACATGTGACTTCTGCTATCAGAATACGAAGATCGCGTTGAAAAGACGGGTCATCAGCACTCCAGAAAGCTTGTGTTTTGGGACCAAGAGGCACCTTAATAGCTGAAGCCTGCAGTGAATGCCGTTCAGGAGAAGGATCCCGACACACTAACAGGTGGACTTTGTTGCATTTATAGCGCAAGTGATTAAATTGCAGTTGTCAAACCACCTGGCGCCGACAAGGATGGCAGCATCGCGACTAGCTCTTAGGAAACTTTGCATTATTTTGTTTTTTTATGTACTATTTTTTACATTATTAGCTCAGAAAGTGTTTTATATCATTACATACAGCCAGGAAAAACTATTGTATATCAGAGTGGCGGTAACTCACCAGCATTACGACCAGGAATACGACTTTCCCGAAGCAGATACTTTGTTTGCTCTCCCCAGGGCAATTGAACTGATTCCAGCGGCTGACCCAAAATATCGCCAGCGGAGGAGAGGCACTCGGAGCTGCCTGCTGGTTCGACTTAGGAGGCGCGCACACCACCCACCACTTCCAAGTATACTACTCGCTAATGTTCAGTCTCTGGTCAACAAGCTCGACGAGCTCCGGACAAGGATTTCTTTCCAGAGAGACATCAAGGCCTGTAACATACTTTGTTTCACGGAAACATGGCTCTCTGGGGTCCAGCCAGATGGGTTCTCAGTTCATCGCACAGACAGGAATAAATATCTCTCCGGGAAGCAGAATGGTGGAGGTGTGTGTTTCATGATTAACGACTCATGGTGTAATTGTAGAAACATACAGGAACTCATGTCCTTCTGTTCACCCGACCTAGAATACCTCACAATCAAATCCCGATCGTATTATCTCCCAAGAGAATTTTCTTCGGTTATAGTCACGGCCGTGTATATCCCCCCTCAAGCCGATACCACGACGGCCCTCAAAGAACTTCACTGGACTTTATGCAAACTGGAAATCACATCCTGAGGCTGCATTTATTGTAGCCGGGGATTTTAACAAAGCAAATTTGAGGACTAGGCTGCCGAAGTTCTATCAACATATTGACTGTTGTAGTCGCGCGGCTAAAATCCTCGACCATTGCTATTCGAACTTCCGGGATGGTTATAAGGCCCTCCCCCGCCCTCCTTTCGGGCAAATCTGACCACGACTCCATTTTGCTCCTCCCTTCCTATAGGCAGAAACTCAAACAGGAAGTACCCGTGCTAAGGACTATTCAATGTTGGTCTGACCAATCGGAATCCAAACTTCAAGATTGTTTTGATCACGCGGACTGGGATATGTTCCGGGTAGCTTGCGAAAATAATTTAGACGAATACACTGAAACGGTGACTGAGTTTATCAGGAAGTGTATAGGTGATGTTGTGCCAACTGTGACTATTAAAACCTACCCTAACCAGAAACCGTGGATAGATGGCAGCATTCACGCAAAACTGAAAGCGCGAACCACGGCATTTAACCATGGCAAGGTGACTGGGAATATGGCAGAATACAAACAGTGTAGCTACACACTCCGCAAGGCAATTAAACTGGCAAAACATCAGTATAGAGACAAAGTGGAGTCGCAATTCAACGGCTCAGACACGAGACGTGTTTGGCAGGGTCTACAGACAATCACGGACTACAAAAGGAAAACCAGCCACATCGCCGACACCGACGTCTCGCTTCCAGACAAGCTAAACACCTTCTTCGCCCGCTTTGAGGATAACACAGTGCCCACTACCAAGGACTGTGGCCTCTCCTTCTCCGTAGCCGACGTGAGTAAGACATTTAAGCATGTTAACCCCCGCAAGGCTGCCGGCCCAGATGGCATCCCTAGCCGGGTCCTCAGAGCATACGCAGACCAGCTGGCTGGTGTGTTTACCAACATATTCAATCTCTCCCTTTCCCAGTCTGTTGTCCCCACATGCTTCAAGATGGCCACCATTGTTCCTGTACCCAAGAAAGCAAAGGTAACTGAACTAAATGACTATCGCCCCGTAGCACTCACCTCTGTCATCATGAAGTGCTTTGAGAGACTAGTCAAGGATCATATCACCTCTACTTTAACTGTCACCCTAAACCCACTTCAATTTGCTTACCGCCCCAATAGATCCACAGACGATGCAATCGCCATCATACTGCACACTGCCCTATCCCATCTGGACAAGAGGAATACCTATGTAAGAATGCTGTTCATTGACTATAGCTCAGCATTCAACACCATAGTACCCTCCAAGCTCATCATTAAGCTCGAAGCCCTGGGTCTGAACCTCGACCTGTGCAACTGGGTTCCTACCTTCACCACCGCCCCCCAGGTGGTGAAGGTAGGAAACAACATATCCACTTCGCTGATACTCAACACTGGGGCCCCACAAGGGTGCGTGCTCAGCCCCCTCCTGTACTCCCTGTTCACCCATGACTGCGTGGCCAAGCACGCCTCCAACTCAATCATCAAGTTTGCAGATGACACAACAGTAGTAGGCTTGATTACCAACAATGACGAGACCGCCTACAGGGAGGAGGTGAGGGCTCTGGGAGTGTGGTGCCAGGAAAATAACCTCTCACTCAACGTCAACAAAACAAAGGAGATGATCGTGGACTTCAGGAAACAGCAGAGGGTGCACCACCCTACCCACATCGACGGGACCGCAGTGGAGAAGGTGGAAAGCTTCAAGTTCCTTGGTGTACACATCACTGACAAACTGAAATGGTCCACCCATGCAGACAGTGTGGTGAAGAAGGCGCAACAGAGCCTCTTCAACCTCAGGAGGCTGAAGAAATTTGGCTTGGCACATTAAACCCTCACAAACTTTTACAGATGCACAATTGAGAGCATCCTGTCGGGCTGTATCACCGCCTGGTACGGCAACTGCACCGCCCGCAACCGCAGGGCTCTCCAGAGGGTGGTGCGTTCTGCCGAACGCATTACCGGGGGCAAACTACCCGCCCTCCAAGACACCTACAGCACCCGATATCACAGGAAGGCCAAAAAGATCATCAAGGACATCAACCACCCGAGCCACTGCCTGTTCACCCTGCTATCATCCAGAAGGCGAGGTCAGTACTGGTGCATCAAAGCTGGGACCGAGAGAATGAAAAACAGCTTCTATCTCAAGGCCATCAGACTGTTAAATAGCCTATTGAAATCACTGGCCACTTGAGATAGAAATGGAACACTAGTCACTTTAATAATGTTTACATATCTTGCACTACTCATCTCATATGTACTGTATATACTGTACTCTATTCTATAATATCCTACTGTATCTTAGTCCATGCCGCTCTGTCATTGCTTGTCCATATATGTATATATTCTTAAATTCCATTCCTTACTGTTGTGAAATTGTTAGATATTACTTGTTAGATATTACTACGCTGTCGGAGCTAGAAGCATAAGCATTTCGCTACACACGCAATAACATCTGCTAAACACGTGTATGTGACAAATTAAATTTGATCTGATTTGATTTATAAGGAAATCAGTCAATTTCACATGACTGGGAATACAGATATGCATCTGTTGGTCACAGACACCTTAAAAAAAAGTAGGGCCGTGGATTAGAAAACCAGTCAGTATCTGGTGTGACCACCATTTGCCTCATGCAGTGTGACTTCGCATAGAGTTTATCAGGCTGTTGATTGTGACCTGTGGAATGTTGTCCCTCCTCTCTTTAATGGCTGTGTGAAGTTGCTGGATATTGGCGGGAACTAGAATACACCGTTTTACACGCCAATCCAGAGCATTCCAAACATGTTCAATGGGTGACATGTCTGGTGAGTATGCAGGACATGGAAGAACTTGCACATTTTCAGCTTCCAGGAATTGTGTACATATCCTTGTGACATGGGGCCGTGCATTATCATGATGAAACATGAGGTGATGGCGGCGGATGAATGGCACGACAATGGGCCTCAGGTTCTCGTCACGGTATCTCTGTGCATTCAAATTGCCATACATAAAATGCAGTTGTGTTTGTTGTCCATAGCTTATGATTGCCCATATCATAACCCCACCGCCACCATGGGGCACTCTGTTCACAACGTTGACATCAGCAAACCGCTCGCCCACACGACGCCATACTCGCTGTCTGCCACCTGCCTGGTACAGTTGAAACCAGGATTCATCCATGAAGAACACACTTCTCCACTGTGCCAGAGGCCATCGAAGGTGAGCATTTGCCCACTGAAGTCGGTTACGACGCCGAACTGCAGTCAGGTCAAGACCCTGGTGAGGACAGATGAGCTTCCCTGAGATGGTTTCTGATAGTTTGTGCAAATATTATTCTGTTGTGCAAGCCCACAGATTCATCAGCTGTCCGGGTGGCTGGTCTCAGATGATCCCGCATGTGAAGAAGCCCGATGTGGAGGTCCTGGGCTGGCGTGGTTACACGTGGTCTGCATTTGTCAGGCCGGTTGGAAGTACTGCCAAATTCTCTAAAACAACGTTGGAGGCGGCTTATGGTAGAGAAATTAGCATTACATTCTCTGGCAACAGCTCTGGTGGACATTCCTGCAGTCAGCATGCCAATTGAAAGCTCCCTCAAAAAACTTGAGACATCTGTAGCATTGTGTTGTGACAAAACTGCACATTTTAGAGTGGCCTTTTATTGTCCCCAGCACAAGGTGCACATGTGTAATGATCATTCTGTTTAATCAGCTTCTTGGTATGCCACACCTGTCAGGTGGATGGATTATCTTGGCAAAGGGTTCTCAGAATGGCGCCAGAGGGGATGGCTGCCGTTTTACGGGCTCCTAACCAACTTTGCTATTTTGTGTGTTTTTTCGCATTGTTTTTAACTTATTTTGTACATAATGTTGCTGCTACCATCTCTTATGACCGGAAAGAGCTTCTGGATATCAGAACAGAGATTACTCATCTCGAACTGGACAAATAATTTTTCTTTAATCAGTCCGACGCGAAGGATATACTGCTTCTCCGAGACCAGGCCCAAATCCCCGTCATTCGCGTGAAGAAAATATGGAAATACAGGGGGCGGAGTTCGGGGTGCCTTGTGAGAATTCGTCGGCGAGTGGGTAAACTGCCTCTACCATCCGTTCTATTGGCCAACGTGCAATCACTGGAGAATAAACTGGATGATCTCCGTTCGAGACTATCCTACCAACGGGACATTAAAAACTGTAATATCTTATGTTTCACAGAGTCGTGGCTGAACGACGACACAGACAATATACAGTTGGCTGGGTTTTCCAGGCATCAGCAGGACAGAACAGCTACATCTGGTAAGACGAGTAGTGGTGGTGTGTGTCTATTTGTCAATAACAGCTGGTGCTCGATATCTAATATTAAGGAAGTCTCGAGGATTTGCTCGCCTGAGGTAGAGTACCTCATGATAAACTGTAGACCACACTATCTACCAAGAGAGTTTTCATCTATATTTTTCGTAGCTGTCTATTTACCACCTACAGCAGCCAAGGTGATAATGGCTGGGGTCATTTTTGCTTGTTTTTGCTGTTCTCCAAATAGTATTTAAACATTCTTTAATTGTATAGAAATGCAGTAAATGAACTTCAACTTTTAAGAAATGTCCACTTCCGGACCTCACTTAAAACTCAAACCCTGGATACGGCCCTGTCTGTACTCTGGTGAGATTAGCGGAGACGCTAAATGTTAGATTAAAGACAGTGCCTCCCAAAGCCATTGAGACCCGCAGCAGAGAAGGGATCTCTATGACTCTTTGGGATTACTCCCCACTTACTGGTACAATGAAAGAAGAAAGATCAATGTGTGCATCTCAAATAGCACCCTATTCTCTTTATAGTGCACTACTTTACAGAGGGGGAAAATCCCTCAATATCCTCTGGTTAGAATGTCATCTATGATATGGGTCATTCTATAAATTGGGGGTTGGATATTTTTGTTTTTTCTGTATCCTATTTTTTGCAAACTTTCAGCACATCTCTTCCAACATATGTCAGGTAGTCATACTCTATACACTGAGTGTACAAAACATTAAGGAAACCGGCTCTTTCCATGACATACACTACCAGTCAAAAGTGTGGACACACTTACTCATTTGAAGGGTTTTCCTTTATTTTTACTATTTGTTACATTGTAGAATAATAGTGAAGACATCAAAACTATGAAATACCACATATGGAATCATGTAGTAACCAAAAAAGTGTTAAACAAATCTATAAAAATAAAATAAAAAATGTTATATTTGAGATTATTCAAATAGCCACCCTTTGCGTTGATGACAGCTTTGCACACTAAAAAAAAAATTAAAAATAAATTTAGAGAAATGTCATCTTTATTGTTCTCTGTAAAATGTTCAATGTATGAATCTGAAACTTGTTGATTGATTTACTTATGCATCTAATTCATTATGTTGTTAGATGTTTAAATTATCACTTTTTAGTCATTTAGCAGATGCACTTATTGTCATGGTCGTCTATGTCGTCTAAGTATGACCAAGGCGCAGCGTGTCCAAGAAACATGACTTTATTAATTAAACGTTATAGAACTACAAAACAAAAGACGACTCAATGAAGTCCACGGTACACTGACCGAAACGGAACAAAAACCCACAATTCCCACAGGAAAACATTCAGATTAAATATGGCTCCCAATCAGAGATAACGAGCCGACAGCTGACACTCGTTACCTCCGATTGGGAGTCATAGACCAAACCTAGAAATGAAGCCAACAGAAAGGCAAACCTAGAAATACACCCAAACCCAACATAACAAAATACACCCTGGCTCAAATACAAAAGTCCCGGAGCCAGAGTGTCACAGTACCCCCCCCTAAAGGTGCGAACTCCGGGCGCACCAGCATACAGTCTAGGGGAGGGTCTAGGTGGGCGTCTGTCCACGGTGGCGGTTCTGGCCCTGGTCGTGGTCCCCACCCCACCTTAGTCACTATCTGCTTCCGTAGCCTCCTCCACATGACCACCCCCCCACTAAACCCCACAGGATTAAGGGGCGGCACCGGACTAAAGGGCAGCACCGGACTAAGGGGCAGCACCAGGATAAGGGGCAGCACCGGGCTAAGGGACAGCACCGGACTCAATGGCGGATCCTGGCTGGCTGGCTCTGGCGGATCCTGGCTGGACGGCTCATGGCTGGCTGAAGGATCTGGCTGCTCATGGCTGGCTGACGGATCTGGCTGCTCATGGCTGGCTGACGGATCTGGCTGCTCATGGCTGGCCGACGGATCTGGCTGCTCATGGCTGGCCGACGGATCTGGCTGCTCATGGCTGGCTGAAGGATCTGGCTGCTCATGGCTGGCTGACGGATCTGGCTGCTCATGGCCGGCTGACGGATCTGGCTGATCCTGTCTGGCGGAAGGCTCTGGCTGATCCTGTCTGGCGGAAGGCTCTGGCTGATCCTGTCTGGCGGAAGGCTCTAGCGGCTCATGGCAGACGGGCGGCTCTGAAGGCTCATGGCAGACGGGCGGCTTTGCAGGCTCAGTCCAGACGGCCAGTTCAAGCGCCTTTGGGCAGACGGGCAGTTCAGGCCCCGTTGGGCAGACGGCAGACTCTGGCCGTCTGAGGCGCACCGTAGGCCTGGTGCGTGGTGCCGGAACTGGAGGTACCGGGCTGAGGACACGCATCTCAGAGCTAGTGCGGGGAGAAGCAACAGGGCATGCTGGACCCTGGGAACGCACATAAAGCCTAGTGCGGGGAGCAGGAACAGGGCATGCTGGACCCTGGGGACGCACATAAGGCCTAGTGCGGAGAGCAGCAACAGGACGCACAGGACTCGGGGAACACACAGGAGGCTTGGTGCGTGGTGTAGGCACTGGTGGTACTGGGCTGGAGCGGGGAGGTGGCGCCGGAAATACCGGACCGTGCAGGCTTACTGGCCCCCTTGAGCACTGAGCCTGCCCAACCTTACCCGGGTTGATGCTCCCCGTCGCCCGACCAGTACGGGGAGGTGGAATAACCCGCACCGGCCTATGTGGGCGAACCGGGAACACCATGCGTAAGGCTGGTGCCATGTACGCCGGCCCGAGAAGACGCACTGGTAGCCGGATGCGTTGGGCCGGCTTCATGACATCTGGCTCAACGCTCACTCTAACCCGGCCGATACGTGGAGCTGGAATGTACCGAACCGGGCTATGCCTGCGTACAGGAGACACCATGCGCTCTACTGCGTAACACGGTGTCTGCCCGTACTCTCGCTCTCCACGGTTAAGTCCAGGGAGTAGGCGCAGGTCTCCTACCTGACTTCGCCACACTCCCTTTAAGCCCCCCCCCAAGAAATTTTTGGGTGGTACCCACGGGCTTCCAGCCTTGACTCCGTGCTGCCTCCTCATACCGCCTCCTCTCGGCTTTAGCTGCCTCCAGCTCTTCACGAGGGCGGCGATATTCTCCCGGTTGTGCCCAAGGACCCTTTCCAGCCAGTATCTCCCCCCATGTCCATGAATCCTTAGGTACTTGCTCAAGGACACGTCAATAGTCAGCTCGGGGATTCGAACCAGCAACATTTCAGTTAATGGCCCAACGCTCTTAACCGCTAGGCTAACTGCTGCCCCATCACTTTACCTATCTTTATTTTGGTAAAATAACTGGCATTTAGGAGTCAAGTGTTAATCATAGAGATAAATGGAGGACTCTATTTTTATTATAGACATTGCCATTGAGGGTCTCCACCATTTAAAAGTAGTCAACTGGGAGTGATCAGCCAATGATCAGAGAGCATTGTCTTTTTCAAATTGGGTTGCATATGGTTTGTAAACCAAAGACTAAGGTAATATCCAGGAGCCGAGACCAAGATTTATGGTCCCAAGATCCAGACCCAGTGAGTTGAGGCCATGACAAGGTCCCCCTTTCCTGCAGTCAAATGACCAGCCGAAAATCTGGTGTTTCTATGTCAAATGGTTTTGTTAAATTTCAGTCTTCTGTGATGTATATAACGTGTAATATTGGGATGCAAACTCAAAATGTAATACATTTCGACTCTATATCTGACATGGTATGGCTGCCTTCTTTTTTTTAAGCCCATAACCGTGTGTGAGGTGTATACTTTGGTTTCAAAGTAGATTTGTTTAAGACTACCAAGAAACACTCTGTGTGACCCTGATTTAGCCCACTGCAGTAAAAGTTTATTAAAGACCGAATTTGTGTGGTCTTGAGTGGCCCAAGACCAAGACCACTGGATCAAGAGTCCATGGCCCCTTTCTTCAATTGTAAGAAACTCAAGTAGAGTAAACAGTACAGTATAGTACAGTAGAGTACAGCACAGTACAGTAGAGTAAAGTACATTACAGAACAGTACAGTACAGTACAGTACAGTATAGCACATTAAAGGCGTATATGTTTTGGCCAAATATATGTAAATGTTTGGGCTCTTGGAGGGTTGGAGCCCCCCTGCTGGCTATGCATCTCAATACTCTACACTTTTTCTTGAAGTGTGCACTTGTCCACTACCCACATGGTGGTCCTCTGTAGCTCAGTTGGTAGAGCATGCAACTTTAGAATGGAAATAACGCTGCCGCTGCTGTTACAGACGCCATAATAGCACAGATACAAAGATGAGACCTCTATATATCTCTATGGTGTCAATTGTTTCGGTTGTGAACATTTCGGTTTGAACAATTTTGACTTATTTTGGACTTTAAAGAATCCCCATAGCTAACATATGGCTGTATATCTTTCTTTGGACAGTCTTTCAATGTGGACAGTCTTTCAATGTGTGTTTCGGTTGTGACATCAAAAGATGGGACAGCATTCGTTTTGAAATATATATATATATATTTTTTTTTAAATACTAACTACAAGATGTTCTATTGAAATAATAGTGTTAAAAAAATCATTAATTGCTTTATTTTCAAACACCTCTCAATATAAATAAGTGTATAAACAATGTACTATATTATGTACAATGTACTATATACAGTATGTACAATATAAACTTTATAATATGTTTGTTATTGCCTTGGATTGAATTAAAACATATCATGATGTAAATTTACAGTGCTATGAAAAAGTATTTGCCCCCTTTCTAATTTTCTCTACTTTTGCATATTTGTGATACTGAATGTTATCAGATCTTCAACCAAAACCTAATATTAGATAAAGGGAACATAAGTGGACAAATAACACAACAATTACATATTTATTTCATAAACAAAGTTATGCAACACCCAATTCCCCTGTGTGAAAAAGTAATTGCCCCCTTACACTCAATAACTGGTTGTGCCACCTTTAGCTGCAATGAGCAATTTTGGCCCACTCTTCCATGCAGAACTGCTTTAACTCAGTGACGTGTGGGTTTTCAAGCATGAACTGCTCATTTCAAGTCCTGCCACAATATCTCAATTGGGATTAGGTCTGGACTTTGACTAGGCCATTCCAAAACTTCCAATTTGTTGCTTTTTAGCAATTTTCATGTAGACTTGATTGTGTGTTTTGGATCATTGTCCTTCTATTAAGGCAAGTCGTCCAGGTCCTGAGGCAGCAAAGCATCCCCAAACCATCACACCACCACCACCCTGCTTGACCTTTTGTATGATGTTCTTACTGTGGAATGCAGAGTGTTATTTGTTCACTTATGTTCCCTTTATCTAATATTAGGTTTTGGTTGAAGATCTGATAACATTCAGTATCACAAATATGCAAAAGTAGAGAAAATTAGAAAGGGGGCAAATACTTTTTCATAGCACTGTATGTCCTAAATTTGAAGACTTAACTGTTTTTGTTAATAGTTTTTTGGGGTGGGACTGCAATTTGCACCACTTCTGTAGAATGTCCCATACAGTGACTTGCGAAAGTATTCACCCCCTTTGGCATTTTTCCATTTAAAAAAAATTAAAATTGGTAGCTTAGTGGGTAAGAGCATTGTGCCAGTAACCGAAAGGTCGCTGGTTCTAATCCCTGAGCCGACTAGGTGAAAAATCTGTCGATGTGCCCTTAAGCAAGGCACTTAACCCTAATTGCTCTGGATAAGAGCGTCTGCTAAAATGTAAAAAATATTTTTGGGGTTTGTATCATTTGACTTACACAACATGCCTACCACTTTGAAGATGCAAAATATGTTTTATTGTGAAACAAACAAGAAATATGACAAAAAAACAGAAAACTTGAGCGTGCATAACTATTCACCCCCCCCCCCCCCCCCCCCCCCCCCCCCCCCCCAAAGTCAATATTTTGTAGAGCCACCTTTTGCAGCAATTACAGCTGCAAGTCTCTTGGGGTATGTCTCTATAAGCTTGGCACAGCTAGCCACTGGGATTTTTGCCCGTTCTTCAAGGCAAAACTTCTCCAGCTCCTTCAAGTTGGATGGGTTCTGCTGGTGTACAGCAATCTTTAAGTCATACCACAGATTCTCAATTGGATTGAGGTCTGGGCTTTGACCAGGCCATTCCAAGACATTTAAATATTTCCCCTTAAACCACTCGAGTGTTGCTTTAGCTGTATGCTTAGGGTCATTGTCCTGCTGGAATGTGAACCTCCCTCCCAGTCTCAAATCTCTGGAATTCCCTCAAGAATGTCCCTGTATTTAGCGCCATCCATCATTCCTTCAATTCTGACCAGTTTCCCAGTCCCTGCCGATGAAAAACATCCCCACAGCATGATGATGCCACCACCATGCTTCACTGTGGGCATGGTGTTCTCTGTGTGATGAGAGGTGTTGGGTTTGCGCCAGACATAGCGTTTTCCTTGATGGCCAAAAAGCTCAATTTTAGTCTCATCTGACCAGAGTACCTTCTTCCATATGTTTGGGGAGTCTCCCACATGGCTTTTGGCGAACACCAATTGTGTTTGCTTATTTCTTTCTTCAATGAATGGATTTTTTCTGGCCACTCTTCTGTAAAGCCCAGCTCTGTGGAGTGTACGGCTTAAAGTGGTCCTATGGACAGATACTCCAATCTCCGCTGTGGAGCTTTGCAGCTCCTTCAGGGTTATCTTTGGTCTCTTTGTTGCCTCTCTGATTAATGCCCGCCTTGCCTGGTCCATTTAAATTACAGGTTGTAATGCAACAAAATAGGAAAAATGCCAAGGGGATGAATACTTTTGCAAGGCACTGTATATGGAGACAGATTCACTCCAGCGAAGACATCATCAGAGAATTCAGAAATCATAGCTGACATATCATTTCAGAAGAAGTTGTGATTCGGATTGGCCTGCAAGCTGCTTTTTGATTATCTGTGATTCAAAATCACTTAATACGGAACGTCTTCACGTTTTTGCTTCTGAATGAATCTGTCTTCTTTATCAATCAGAGTATCTGAGCTGAGAATGAGATGAGGGCTACATCCCAAATGGCACCTCATTCCCTTCATAGTGCACTACTTTTGACCAGGGCCCATAGGGCATGATATAGACTAGTATATAGCATGTAGTGCACTATATAGAGAATAGGGTGCCATTTACTGCATATCAAAGTGGCTCTCCCCTCCCTTTTAAGATGCATAGTTATCAGCTTGTCTGTGGAGCAATTATAGAAGAAAACTGCTTTGCTATTACATGATGCAATTTCCTATTTCTGTTTGCATCACTGGGTGAAATAAAGGCTTTGGTTAATTGGGATAACTTGCACAGACAATAACTAACCTAAGTGCTACATGCTTCACTCTAAGTTACATACATTAACATAATGTGGATACATTGCATAAATATAACCAGAGGAAAGATCTGAATCTAAATCTAGAGCTGCATGCATGGTGGTTTCACTCTGCCATACTTTAGATACTACTGTATATCACGCAGCAACACATCCTACAATCTGTTGGTCGTTTGTTGTGATCGGATTAGATTAATGTTCATATCACTCTCCATTGGGTAAACAATGCTGGTACATGTTCGAATAAACACCCCCAGGCCTATTAATTTCCCTATGGTTTGTTTGTGTGTGTGTGTGTGTGTGTGTGTGTGTGACACACACAGCTAGCCAGTCTGCATCCTGTCACTCTGACCTTGGTTCGATTTGCCCCAACTTTGTCCCAGTTCGGTCTGACATTTGGCCTAAAAGAGACCCAGGAGATCAATCGACTGTTTCTGCATAGTAGGCATCAATGCAATGTTCTCTTTTTACAACTTGAGATAATTCAATTGACAGCATGGTGATGGCTTGTACCTCAATGTTTATTTTTATTTTTATTTTTTTACATGCCGATATACTGTCGATTTACATTGACATCTCAACTCATTGAAATAAGTGGTGACTGTAACAGTGCAGGAGCCTAGATGTTATTATAAGAGTATTATACTGTCTACAGAAGGTATCTCGAGTCAATTTGCATTGAAGGATGATCTGAATTATTTAATAGTATGAATTAATGAATAATATTGACATTCCAAATCCACATAAAAAACTTGGCAGCATATTGCATATCAAATGTCTTTAAAGGACATCAATTATAGGCAAAAAGACCTCCCAGAGTTACTTTTAGTTTTTTATGCAAACCCCATGCACTTTTGTCAAACGACTTCATGTTGCCCTCTTCTAGTGCTTTGTGGAGCAAAATTGGGGTCAAGTAAGCCTACAGATATGCAAAAATGCATTGCAAACTGGTAATGTCTTCAGGCTACGTCCCAAATGGTACCCTATTCCCAAGTAGTGCACTATGTGGGAAACAAGGTGCCATTTGGGATTCAGCCAAAATCTACTGATCACCCCAAAACTGTTGTTCAGCAGGACGATGTCACTGCTAGTATATAATGTCTGTTATAGTAATACTCTTAGTCCTACTCAGTACTGTCTGTACTGTAAGTATTTAGTACTACTCAGTACTGTCTGTGTTCTTTAGTGCCCAACTGAGCCAGCCTGGCAGCACATCTGGTCTGTCTGTTGAGACAGTGTTATGGATGGTAAACAGCTGTCAGCAGGAGTCCCTAGTGCATTATGTGCTAATCCACACGGTCAGCAGGAGGAACCCTTGCCTGCTTAATCTGGTCATGATCGTTAGCATCGCCGGCTAGGCTAAGCTAAGACTAGCAGCTAGCTACAGCAGTTAATACAAATCTAGATGAACTGGCTAGGCTAGGGCTAAGGCTACAGCAGATGGCTAGGGGTTAACCCAGCTGTATAACTTTTTGAGGATCTGAGGACCCATGCCAAATCTTTTCAGTCTCCTGAGGGGGAATAGGCTTTGTCGTGCCCTCTTCACGACTGTCTTGGTGTGTTTGGACCATTATAGTTTGTTGGTGATGTCCTCTCTTTTTTCCTGTAGTCCACAATCATCTCCTTTGTCTTGATGACGTTGAGGGAGAGGTGGCAGCAGTGTTTACAATATGTTGGCCTCTACTCTCCTCTCAGTTCCTATCCTCTTCTCTCCTCTCCTTTCTTTCCTCCCCTCTCTTCTTCACTCCTTTCTACTCCTCAGCTGTGTCAGGGAATGTCACTGTGTGGTTTATTGGTGGTTAAATAAGAGTAAGAGTGAAATAAGTATGAACTTCACTGTTGACCTCGTGAACTACAGATAAATCCTTAATGCCACTAAACCACCACATTTCTGAAAAGTACGCTGTGGCTTCACTTTACGTCCAGTACAGAGTATCATGTGAACGGTGCTCAATGCTCTCTATCTCTCCATCTTCGTGCATCAAATGATACCAGAGTGCTCCCCTTATCATGGATTAGCAATGAGATTAATGTGTTATCCCTGGATTAAAAGCAATGAACCCACTCTACCAATGCATTAGATTAGACCAGACCTTCTCACTTCTGTTGACATCCATACTATGGATAGAATACCTGCAATGTCAAACTATATACAATGAGTGTACTTTCCATGACATATCACATATGTCACATGACTGACCAGGTGAATTATTGATGTCACTTGTTAAATCCACTTCAATGAAGGGGAGGAGACAGGTTAAATAATTATTTTTAAGCCTTCTGACAATTGAGACATGGATTGTGTATGTGTGCCATTCAGAGGGTGAATGGGCAAGGCCAAATATTTAAGTGCCTTTGAACGGGGTATGGTAATAGGTGCCAGGCACACCGGTTTGAGTGTGCCAAGAACTGCAACGCTGCTGGGTTTTTCACACTCAACAGTTTCCCGTGTGTATCAAGAATGGTCCAACACCCAAAGGACATCCAGCCAACTTGACACAACTGTGGGAAGCATTGGAGTCAACATGGGCCAGCATCCCTGTGGAACACTTTCGACACCTTGTAGAGTCCATGCCCTGACAAATGTAGGCTGTTCTGAGGGCAAAAGGGGGTGCAACTCAAGGTGTTCCTAATGTTTTGTACACGCAGTGTAAATATACAGCCTAAGGGTAGGAGCCCTTACAAAAAAAACGCATGTCAAATTTGCAGTTTCACATGTGAAAATCGCATTTTGAAATTGCAAGTTCACATGTGAAAGTTAAAATCAAATTTGCAGTTTCGCATGTAAGAAAACTCAACATGTGAAAATCTCAAAATAAATATAATTGGGGGACAGGTTAATGGATCAAGTTCAAATGGCAACATAGTTCCGCTTAGTTGCTACATCCATTTTTGGACATAAATTAATGATATAATACCCATTGATTCTTGAAGAATATAACGTATAAATGCCTCAAGAGCTTAGTTCAACTGTCACACCCCATCAGAACCCTAAATAGAAGCTTGTTTTACTCCAATGTTTGTAAACAAATTAAATGTAAACAAACCACTGTATAGCTTAAAGACATGGTTAAAACTATAATTTTTATATCACGGATGGTCAGTCCTTGCATCCATAGCGTAGTCTATGGATTTGAGAGTGGTTGCATTTCTCCAGCCCCATCCCTCAGCTTTTGACTGAAACTGTGTGGCAGGGACAACTATTTGTTAAAGTTTAAATTAAGGATCGCTGCTTTAAATAACTTTAATAGAGTAACAGTGTTATGATATGGCGCAATCCTCTAGTGAGTGAGTTACTTTGTGTCCATTAATATTAAGCAAAACTACTGATGTCAAGAACACAATTCTTAGTATTGCAAACAAAAATAATGATATTGAAAGCAAGACATAAACCAAAAAGTATTGATAGCAAAACAAAATCTTGCAAGGAAATGAATTGTAAATGGATGTTAAAAAAAATCTGTAAAAAAATGTTTGCGATAACGCGATTAAATAAAACGCCCCCCCTTTCCTGCAATTTCCCTATATTCAGTTATGTTACCCTGTCCTTTGATTTAACTGCCATTTTTTACAATCGCAATTTTTGCCACATTCATTCCAGCTACATAGCACCCTGCATCCCACTACTGGTTTGCCTCTGAAGCTAAGCAGGGTTGGTCTTGGTCAGTTCATGGATGGGAAACCAGATGTAGCTAGAACTTCACGTGTCTGACTTGTGAACATTTCCAAAAAATGTATGTGTGTTCACACATGTCCAAAAACCACATTTTTTATGTAAGGGGAGGGAGGGCAAAGCAATTGCATAATGTGAGTCTACAAACTGCATGCAGACTACAAGTCAGTGTCCCAAGACATGCATACATTCACAGAGCACAGACTTTAAAAATGCATGGAGGGACTAAAAGAAGCCAAGCATGTCCAAGGGAAGCTCCTTTACTGGGCCATTTGCATGCAGAAAGTTACACACCGCTAGTTACTCTGTTCTAGTCCTGTGTAACTCCACATGCGTGTTTCTCTTCAAGGAGAGGAGACTGTAACTGTATGAGCCTGAGTTAGTCCGTTTCCATTGTAGTGTGATTAGATCCATTTACCCTCTGTTGAGATGTTGGGGATGATTGTACTCAGGCTATTTCCAGCTCTGCACGACACTGTGATGCCCCGCTGAACGGTGTGTGTGTGTGTGTGTGTGTATGTATGTGTGTGTGACCCCCTGCTGATCGATGTTCCCCTTCATTCCCCTGCAGTACAAGCCCCCCTACTTTCATCAGGTCGGCTCCAAACAAGAAACAAGTTGAGAAGAAAACATCAAAAGAAAAGAAAACTTGTTCATGCTCTTTCTCTCTCTTCCCTATTTTCTCTCGTTTTCAATTGCAGCATCTCCAAACATTGTTAAAAAAAGCTGTCTTGTCACGAAGAAAACAATCCTAAAGTTTGAGTTGGTCGATTTCTCGGCTGCAACGAACGAAGCAAACTTTTAAGTGCATCAACACAAAGACTAGCCCTGAACTCATCCAATAATACAAGTCTGCTTAGATTTCACACACTCAAAGTAGCAACGGTCATTTTTAAAAAACAATTCTAATAGATGCAAAAGTTGTACAATGGATGAAGATACTCCAAACTTTTTGAAATTGTATAATCCATCAGATATTGACTGAATTATAGCACATAAAATATTTCACTGGCACAGACAAATAATGAATGGAGTTCAGGAATTTTGGTGGGAATTCAGGTATTCAATTTATTGTCAAATTGCACTATATTTTCTTATAATGTACTCTCGCTCTATTTTTTGTTATTGTATTTAACAATGATTTTGTGTTAAAACAAAGAAAATGATATGTTCCTCATTTGCATAAATACACAGGGTGTATTTGAATATATTCGTACATTTACATAAATGGGTGGAACAGGGTCTGCTGAGTGCAAACTTGAACGTTGTGAAAATTCTGTGCAACTTCCAGCGCGTGTTTACTGTGAGCACTGAGGCTGTACCCCCTTTAAGTTACAGTGTTAACAGTGGCCAAGTAGGCTACTGTGGCTATTTCATCATACTGTGGGCCTACCAGAGTGGCCTACCATCAAAAACAATGGAGAAAATGCATCCCATAACATTTTAACATGGAAATAGCTGTTCTATCATTCAGCCTACAGTAGCAGCCAATGTGCTGTGTTCAATGTAGGCCTCCGTTCCATGAGACTGAAAATGTTGTTATGCATTATTATTCCCATACCATTATTACAGAGAATCAAACAAATGATGCTACCCTCTGCCTATTGGCTACTACAACAATGCCCCTTTAAGACAAAAAAAAGCTCTTGCCTGACTCTCTTTCAAAGATGTCTAGAAATGTACACGTTTTGTGCTCTTGTAGGAAGCAATTACTCCCCTATTGCTGACTACAAATTATCTATAACTGGGCTAAAAACTCACTAACTAGCAAAGGATTTGAACAAAATGTGTACACGTGGCTACAGCAGCACTCGCTTTAATCTCAAAACAAGCGCATCTACTCACGACCGCTCATGCTGTAAACACAGTCCAGTTCAAAGTAAATGGCACAGATCCATATATGGCAATGGTCAATTTGCATATAGGCCTACTGCAGCTCTGATTGGTTATGCCGCACCAGTCTGTGTAGAGTACGGGCTGAGTCGTGCGTGTCAATGCAATAGAATCCTACTCCGATGCATTCTGCCTACAACAAAATATCTTGCATAGTTTGTTTTGTTTCGGTATGTTGCATTGAAAGTGGCTAATATTGTGTTGATTCAATCACAATTGCCACAGTAAAGGGAAACGTTGATAGTGTTAACAGGGAAAACTCTAGAACATTGGTCATCAACCTTTTCTGTGTCAAGATCACTTTCTGAGTCAAAATGCAAGCCGAGATCTACTGCTCAGTTATGTTTTGAACATTATTTAAAATAACGTAAGCCTATGCAACATTAACCAATTAAAAACAGTACTGTAGCAATGAGGTTTATGCAGTAATCTATATGCCCATTACATTATCAACGCATATTAGTTTTGCTTGAATTGCCCTACCAATGCATTGTTGTTTGGCCATTTTCTAAAATGATATTTACAAAATTTGAGGTAGGCTATATGATCACACCGGTAAGAGATCCGTTGTTGTATTACTTGTGAGGCACAGCTGAGTGAGCATACATAATTTGCTTTTTATTTTGCTGGGCTGATGGTGCCTACATCTGATGGTCAGTCTCAGTGGAGGGAGAGAGCAGCAGACTGAGGGTCCGCCTCTCAACATCCCTCCGCTCTCCCTTTCCTCCACTGACACTGACCAAAAAGGGACAACCACTTCCAGCTGATGGCGAAACTCGAGTCGCACCGCATTTTTTCTGCCTCATGCAGAAATGAACAGAGAAAGTGAAATATTCCTAGATATTAAAAAAGATGCAAGCCACTAATAATACCAACAACGCAAGCCTATCGATACACTTTCCTACTCATACATTACTGCTGCAGTGCTTGTTGTAGCGCTGACTGTATATAGGAAGAATGCACATTTTATGACTTATTAAAGTGTTGAATACAAAGTGTTGACAGTGCTGAGTAAGAACTTAAACATGAACTCACTCATAAAAACAACAGTTCTTTGCTCTATTCGTTGACAGTCTCTCTCTAGTCATGGTTTTAAACATTTTGAAATCTCACAGTATCAACTTTGCTGTAGCTTTCTTTTATGCCTGCTACTTTACTGCAGACACAGTAATCTGAGCCATCCGATTGGCCAGTGGTAGGCCTATAGTGCACTCGATTTGCTCTCCAGGCCCACCGGGAAGGCAGAGTTTGTACTTTCAGACACATGACATGGTTCAAAATGGCAACAGCTTGCCTACCTGGCGCGCAGGGCAGCTGAATCGGGTGCACCTACTGCCAACAGCACCTACTGCCCCAAAAAATAATGTATAGGAACACAAGGCTTTATCGTTAGGTTTTTAACAGAAATGTTTGGGGATTGACTAGGAATGCCTTGGAGATCGACCAGTTGATCCCGGTTGGTGACCACTGCCCTAGAAAGTTGAGTGAAGTTCAATCTCATGCTTCTCTCTGTGGGCTGATATTTCTTCTGCACGGCAGTCTCAGGCTACTGCATGTGCTCAGGCTACTGCGCGCCCGAGCACCCCCGCAGTTTAGAGGGAACATTGGTCAGGAGCGAGATAGCTGCCGGTGTGGCCATAAGGTGGGGGTAAGATGGCTGACAGGAAAAAAATGAGAAAAGTGGAACATATTATAAGTAAATATGGAATAGGGGATTTCACAAGTCTTATGGAAGATCTGATGAAGGAGAAGATGGCGGACAGGGAAAAGCAAAGTGGAACATGTTTTGTGTGAATACTGGGGACAAGAACTGTGACTTGCTTTCCTCTCCGGAGCAGGGCGCTGTTGAAAGGAGTGATAACTGGAGTGGCGTTAAGTGTTGAGGAGGATCAACTGAAGTTGAAGATTCCCGGTGTCTGTGACACCCACCATTTGGTGCGACGCAGACCTGGTGGAGAGTGTGGTAAAACAGAGAAGACACTTTCTGTACTACTGAGTTTTGATGCAGAGTCTTTACCAGATAAAATCAAGTTAGGATGTGTCAGTTATCCCGTGACAGCTTTTGTCTCGAAACCATTACAGTGTTTTAGGTGTCAAGCTTATGGTCATGTGGCAGCAGTGTGTAGAAGGGAGATTCCTAGATATGAGAAGTGTGCAGGAGGACATGAGACAAAGGAATGTGTAGTATCGTTGGGAAAAGTTGTGTGTGTAAACTGTAGGGGTACCCATGGTGCTGGAGATCAGAGGTGTCTGGTGAGAGAAAGGCAGGTTGAGGATGCCAGGATCAGAGTAGTGCAGAAGGTGTCATATACTGAGGCAGTGAAGAGAGTATTAGAGGAAGATGGGTCCAGGGTGAGGGATCCTAAGAGGCTCCCTGTGAGTAGGCCGAGGCCAATAGAGAGTGATAGGAATAACATTTGCTTCAGTAAGGTTGGTTTTTTGGCGTTCATGGCCATGGTTATCAATTGTACCGCAGGAATTGAATGTAAATCACAGAGTATATATGTTGTGGTGGCAGCTGCAGAGAAGTACTTGGGTGTATGAGATTTTACTGCAGAAGAGTTACAAGATGTTTTGAACAATAGTGTCCCGTCCTCGCAGGCTGCTGGCCTGGAGTAAGGTCAGATAGGGCCAAAGTAGTGGAATAATGGTGAGGTTTTAATGGGTGCAGAGTTAGTTGGTAGGGCAATTTTTTCACAATGTGTAATGAATTCATACTACAGAATAGTAGGCTGATACACAGCTAATATAGTAGGTGGCGGCATGCACCTATAATATTTGTTTGCGGACCGCCATAATACCAAAGAAGAAGAAGAAGAAGAAGAAGAAGAAGAAGAAGAAGAAGAAGAAGAAGAAGACAGTGCTGCAACCACCAAAACACTTGCTCTGTCTACCCTACCTGCACTGTCTAGACTGCCTCATTAATTATTGTACCATCGGATAAAAAATCCACACGCTTGGATAGATTACACCTATCTAAACATACAGTACTTCACATTGTTTGTCAGATCAGACATAATATCACTATAATCCGAATGTTCATTTTCAGAAGTTGCTTTCATTTCAGCGCATCTAATTTGTAAACATTGCAACTGTATTAAATGATTACTTTTTTCAATTCCACAAAAAATGTACACCCATCAAATTAAAGTTATCTTTCTTATTTTTCTTGTGATGTAAGTGTCGAGACTGTGCGTAAAATCACACACAAAGCTTTTGACTTCTTATAGATTCAAAAGACAATGTATTCCATTCAGGCCATTTCAGCTATGTTTTAGTGTGTTTGACAAGTCATTACAAAAATGAAAAAATTACAGGCACAAGCAAGAGAATGAAAGAGTCACTGGCGTAAAATGAAAGCAATCAATCCAGTGAGATTTAAGTGACAAGTGGATTTTGCAACTCTCAAATACAGGAAATAGATGGCTGAAAAAGACAGATACTCAAGTGGGCGGGGCATGCATGTTGCTACTCAAAGCACTAAGAAATACTCTGGGTTCACTCACAGTAAATCCATGAAACAGCTCATGAATTGTTCTCATCGTGCTGCTGCACAAAGAACATATTGAGTCAAGTTTGTAGGCTATAACAAGCTAGAGTACAGTATGTAACTGAAAACTAAGTAGACGGCTTTAGATGCTTTAGAGCGGGGTAGCTGGATGTCAGAAATTTGATTATTTGGAGGTACTGAAACAGAGGCTTAAAACCATAGAAGTAGAATAGAGTAGAATGGGCATAGAATCAGTCTACCCATTATGGCATCATTGACCGTTCTACTCATTCTAAATATATGATATGCTTAAAACTCAGGTCCAAGACTGCAAATCTAATTGTTTAAACAATACACAGGTACTGTATACTTATATTTATCCCAAAGTATTTATAGTTTACAGACAGTAAGAAGCTCTGCTTTTCTAACAAGCAGGAGAAGGTGTGTAATTGGAGGTCATGTTCTCTCCCTTTACCTAATGTGTGTAGTTGAACTGTCATGTTGGACAGCAGTTGTTACAGTACTGTGAATGCGCTTACAGCTAAACTATTGAACTCAGTAACTGAGTGAAGTCAACTAGCACTAAAGAGTTACCATTTTACATTTAGCAGACACTCTTATCCAGAGCGACTTACAGTTCATGCATTCAACTACGGTAGGTAAATACCATGAATGGGAAATGCATGCTGTTCGTGCATGATGTTTAAGGTGTGTTTCACATGATATCTTACAGACAAATGGGGTCCCCTGAAAAGCATCCATTAGGAGCATATCTGGATTCTTCAGCCAGTGTGTGTGTGTGTTTGTGTGTGTGTGTGATCCCCCCTACCTCCGAATGCCGGCCTCATGGTGAAATCATGATCATCTACTTTCAGAAGCTGCTCTGTCTTCAGCTTGCGGTTTTTGGTCACATCTGGAGGCTTCTTTGTCAGGGAACTGGTATAAGACAACACAAGACAACACCATAATAAGTAATGACGACTGTCTGGCGTAATAATTAATGTCTTACTTGGCACAAGCCCATCTGGAATGAGAACAAACACAATTCTAAATGAGTGGAGAATATCTCACTTTGGTCTCTCTGAGCGTATTCATATTGTAGCGAGTGGGTTAACCCTAATGGCGCGATGTGTAGGGTGCTTGCCTTTCAAGCCAGTTACCGCACTGTTCGCTACATTGGTGTCAGAAGTGGGATGGCGGACCGTGAGGCCATCATCTGAGTAGTCGAATTACGGGGACATGCCTTCCCCTTCAAAGGGACAGTGTAGCAATCCTCGCTATATGAGCCATTTTACAATTCCCACGTGGGCTAACCCTATTTGCGCAATGCGTAAGGTGTTTGCCTTTCACACCAGCGACCCGTGTTCGCTTTCCTGCCCTGCCGTTCGCTATAACATAAAGCACAATCAAAGCGGAATGGAAATTCATGTTGCTTTGCTTTATTAAATGAAAACAGTAACTGCAGTTCTCAGCCCCTATTGGGTGACATCCAGATAACTGTGCTTCCCTCCCTGATGGCTTTGACAGATGGCTTTGAGACAAGTGGTCGTGCTTATCGTACTTGAGGCACTGGCAGCCAACCGCTAAACTGTAATTGATGAGTAGGCACAACAAGTAGGCTATACCTAGGGTCTTCCCTGGCTGTCTAGTGTTGCAACCTGGTCTCAGAGCATTTCACATTATTCTGTATGTAAAGCCGAGACACTCTATTTAGTATGATATGTTACGTTTCGTATCAAATGTAATAATTTGTGGATGTACATTACCCATTTTGTATGATATGTTACGAATTTGCTAAACATACAATATGTTACTAATTTGCTAAATGTGTTATATGTTACGAAATTACAAAACATACAATATGTAATGAATTTACAAAAGTATATTATGTTACTAATTTGCTAAACTTGATGATATGTTACGAATTCAGCTAGGTGGCTAACGTTAGCTAGACTAGGGGATATGGTTAAGGTTAAGTTTAGGAGTTGGGTTAAAGGGTTAAGGTTAGGGGAAGGGTTAGCTAAAAGTGTTAAGGTTAGGTAAAGGGTTAGCTAAAAGGGTTAAGGTTAGGGGAAAGGTTATCTAACATCTTAAGTAGATGCAAAGTAGCTAAAAATAGTAAGTAGTTGAAAAGGTGCTAATTAGCTAAAATGCTAAAATTGTCCGTAATGAGATTCGAACTCACAACCTTTGTGTAGCTAGACATTCCCGTTATAGTTTTTGCCCCAAGTGACCATCTGTCTTATGTAACCATACCAAACCTAACATATCAACTAAATGGAGTGTCTCTGATTTTACATTTTAGTCATTTAGCAGACGCTCTTATCCAGAGCGACTTACAGTTAGTGAGTGCCTACATTTTCATACTGGTCCCCCGTGGGAAACGAACCCACAACCCTGGCATTGTAAGCGCCATGCTCTACCAACTGAGCTACATGGTCCGATTTATGTGCAGAATAATACGAAATGCTCTGAGACCAGGTTGCGTGTCTTCTACCACTGTCTGTCTGGGTTTTGTTAGATTTTCACCGCCCCTCTCTGTCCATTATAATGACTGTAGTTATTGGATAGTTTTTCCATGTCCAATTCAGACTATCAAGTTTTGTGAATTTCAATGATGAAATCCGCATCAAAGCGAAGACCCAAGCAAACAGACAGAAGACACTAAACGGATCTTGAACCATTGCACACCAAATAACCACTCCTGGGTGAACAGTATCGGGTACCACTTACGTGCCATGCTTTGCTGTCTCTGTGCCATGCTTTGCCGTCTCCACGGTTCCCGTCCATCTCCGTACTCGGTGTCCGTGCTTACGGCATTCCCCGGTAACGACCAGACAGAAGAGTAAAAACAGCGGTTTAGCCAGATAAGGCATCGTCATGCGTGCAAGTCTAAAATTCCACAAGTGACTCCAAAAGCCTCGTTCAGTTATCCTACAGGTACACAGCTTTGTACGCATCTCCTTGCTCACGGGAAACCAAGCGCTCTGACAGGAATTGCATTGCAATTGCGATGGTTTGATAATGTGTAGGTTGTGTTTGAAAACGGACGCTTGGGAATCTATACTTCGAGAGGTTTCTTCCGATTGTCATTGGTTAGCAACTGCACAGCTGTTTTGATGCGCCCAGTGCCCCCAGTCATGGTTGGTCATCCTCGCAGCAAACACAAAGCTGTCATTTTTAACATGAATTATAAAACCCGGGGATAAGTATGTAACCTAGCCAACTTTGAGATACTCATTGTGCAGTAAAGTTAAGTGAAAAGTGTAGGCCTACACTACCGGTCAAACGTTTTAGAACAGCTAGTCATTCAAGGGTTTTCCTTAATTTTTTTACTATTTTCTACATTGTAGAATGATAGTGAACACATCACAACTATGAAATAACACATATGGAATCATGTAGTAACCAAAAAAGTGTTAAACAAGTCCAAATATATTTTATATTTGAGATTTTTCAAATAGCCACCCTTTGCCTTGATGACAGCTTTGCACACTCTTGGCAGTCTCTCAACCAGCTTCATGAGGTAGTCACCTGGAATGCATTTCAATTAACAGGTGTGCCTTCTTAAAAGTTAATTTGTGGAATTTCTTTCCTTAATGCGTTTGAGCCAATCAGTTGTGTTGTGACAAGGTAGGGGGGTATACAGAAGATAGCCCTATTTGGTAAAAAAACAAGTCCATATTATGGCAAGAACAGCTCAAATAAGCAAAGAGAAATGACAGTCCATCATTACTTTGAAACATGAAGGTCAGTCAATACGGAACATTTCAAGAACTTTTAAAGTTTCTTCAAGTGCAGTCACAAAAACCATCAAGCGCAATGATGAAACTGGCTCTCATGAGGACCACCACAGGAATAGAAGACCCAGAGTTACCTCTGCTGCAGAGGATAAGTTCATTAGAGTTACCAGCCTCAGAAATTGCAGCCCAAATAAATGCTTCACAGAGTTCTCGTAACAGACACATCTCAACATCGACTGTTCAGGAGACTGTGAATCAGGCCTTCATTGTCGAATTGCTGCAAAGAAACCACTACTAAAGGACACCATTAAGAAGAAGAGACTTGCTTGGGCCAAAAAACACGAGCAATGGACATTAGACCGGTGGAAATGTGTCCTTTGGTCTGGAGTCCAAATTTGACATTATTGGTTCCAACCGCTGTGTCTTTGTGAGACGCGGTGTGGGTGAATGGATTATATCCGCATGTGTATTTCCCACTGTAAAGCATGGAGGAGGAGGTGTTATGGTGTGGGGGTGCTTTGCTGGTGACACTGTCTGTGATTGATTTAGAATTCAAGGCATGGCTACCACAGCATTCTGCAGCGATACGCCATCCCATCTGGTTTGGGCTTAGTGGGACTATCATTTGTTTTTCAACAGGACAATAACCCAACACACCTCCAGGCTGTGTAAGGGCTATTTTACCAAGAAGCAGAGTGATAGAGTGCTGTATCAAATGACCTGGCCTCCATAATCACCTGACCTCAACCAAATTGAGATGGTTTGGGATGAGTCGGACGGCAGAGTGAAGGAAAAGCAGCCAACAAGTGCTCAGCATATGTGGGAACTCCTTCAAGACTGTTGGAAAAGCATTCCAGGTGAAGCTGGTTGAGAGAATGCCAAGCTGTCATCAAGGAAAAGGGTGGCTATTTGAAGAATCTCAAATATAAAATATATTTTGGTTTGTTTAACATTTTTGGTTACTACATGATTCCATATGTGTTATTTCATAGTTTTGATGTCTTCACTATTATTCTACAATGTAGAAAATAGTAAAATTAAAGAAAAACCCTTGAATGAGTAGGTGTTCTAAAACTTTTGACCGGTAGTGTATGTGTAGAAGAAGAAAAAATTATGCATCACTTGTTTCCAAATTTACACAGTTCAAAGTTGTGCTGTGCTTTACGACGGCTGGCCCGTTAGTATTCTCTCTGTGATTCCTCCTTTCTTTCAAGTTGAGATGATAAGGGACATTCTCAGGGGGTCCTGGGCTCCACGCTGGGACCTGGCTTTCAGATCCGCAGGGGGGTAAGAGGCACCAGGGTCCCTGGGGCACCTCCAGTCCCGGCCGTGGCGCTGAGAAGCATTTTTAAAATGTGTTTTGTCGTCGCCCACGCAGCTCTCACTCTGCTCAAGCCCCTGAAACGCATATTATGTGGGATTTCAGTGCAATTCTTCCCGGTCCGTGTTATCCGGGATCCTTGGGACGTCCCTACACCATTGACGTTGTCATTTAAAAGGGTTAGGGTTAGGTATGGGTTATGGTTATGACCAATTCTCCCTTTCCACAAACAGTATGCCCGGAGATCTCCCACTGTCACCTGAAGCAAGCCGCTGAAACGGACTCACGCTAACGGAGCTGTACTGCCGGTTCCCAGTTATTATGTAGGCTAATGAAACATTAGTCTGCATGGCCTTTCCATATTAAAAAGGGATACATCCATTCTGTAAATGTGTCTCTATTCCCCACGCACACTTAATCCACTATCAATATTTATAGAAATAATATATGACAAATTGAATTGGTCAAAACAAACTGATAAACATGCAGTCATTAATTTGATGTTTAATTTAATTGAAAACATCAGTGTGTACATATAGGAGCTTTGCATGTTATAGTCCAGTGTGCCCCTTATGAAAAAACGACATGATTTTACATGAGGAAAGTCAAATGTGACATTTCCAGATGATTTCACATGTAACATTTCCTCTTATTTTGCACATGTGAAATCATGTGAAACCATGTGTTTTTGGAACACTTCACATGTGATAATGTGGATTTTCACATGTAAAATCATGTAAAACCATGTGTTTTGGAACAATTCATGTGATGATATTTCACATGAAGTTTGAAATTTGAAATTTCACATGTGAATTCATGTGATTGTCCAAATGTGAAATCATGTGGTTCAACATGTGATAACTATGATGAGTGATTTCGAAGGAGTCAGGGGCAGGAGGGTAAATCACAGAATAACAGGACTTAAGTTATGAAGTAGAGCGTCAAAACACTCCAGTGCGCAAAACAGGAAAGGCACAAGGGGAAATATCCCGCCGATACAAAATACTAGGAGCTCCAGCGAGCTTCACTAACCTCACAATAAACAATCACACACAAAGACAAGGGGGCAGAGGGAACACTTATACAGGTACTGATGAGGGGATATGAACCAGGTGTGTGTTATAAACAAGACAAAACAAATGGAATGAT